CAAGAACTACCACAAATATCAGGGGGGACACTCCAGGCCCATCTCAGCCTAGCCTTTTCATGGTGGATGTTCCCAAATACCCTATCAGAGTGATTGGACAGGGAACAGGTATTCTACAACATCTCCGCCCAGTTCTTATTTGCCACAAATTTCAGTGCATGGTTAAGCTTTCTCTGTTCAAATGCCTGATGATTCAGCAACACATCCACTAGGACTAGCATCCTCAAACATTTTCCAGACTTATTTTTGTTCAGCGACTGTCTCAAACCACTTCCTCACCCATTCCCATTTGTCATGGTCTTACATCCCTGTGACAGTCACAGCTACAGTTCACAGGAACAGCAATACTAGGAAAACACTGACTTTTAAAGCAGTCTTTTTATGCAATTTAAACAGCAAGAAACAAAAAAGCAAAGCCAACTCCCCATGATCTACCTGCTCTCAGACAACCACCAGTGTGCTCCCCAGACCAGTTTGAGAACCTCTAACCTAGGGCCTTCCTTCTCCAAAAGGAGTTAGGCATGTGCATTCTACCCCAGATGTCAGTGGGACTACTCACATACTTAAATGATTTACTGAGATAGGGACTAGAAGAAGGCACCCCATGGACTCAAGAAGCTTGGCTTAAAGACCTGCTGCCCTCTCTTCTGATCAGGTCATCCTGCTACAAAGCAATGACCTTGTGCAACTGTCTTTGGTGTCTTGCTCCACATAGAACATTGTGGGTATTTTCTACAGCTCCTAGACCATAAAGGTTGAAGGTGTAGGGTCGGGATGACTGCTATTTGAAAGAAAAAAAACTAGGGACACTAGAATTAGCAAAAACAAGTTCACGTTTTTCCTGTCTCAAAGCTGATTTTAATCAATAGAAAGAAAGGAAGAAGTCTACCCTAGACTTGGAATTCCAAGGAGATGGGAGCAATTATACAGCTCAGGCTCTCCTCTTATTCCTTACCATGGTGACGCTGAAAATGTTGCAACATCAAAGCACAAATATTTTGAAGATTAAGAAAATATTTTAAGTGCAGTTGGCCAAACCCTACTTGCACGTTATGGTTTTGGCTAAGTCTAAACAGCCCTAGAGACAGGAATTGTAGATATCTTAAGCATAGAAAGGATGGAACAAAAACCCTCATTCTCCCAAACACTGAACTTCGACAAGTCAGATAATGAAATAGATGATAAATAGATACATTCCCTGGGAATGTATCTATTTCATTAAACATTTGGGGGGGGGGAAGGAAGGGGGGAAATCAGTGTTTCATTTCAACATTATTGTTTTGACTAGTTATCATGTAAGCCAAAATATTTAGACTATTATGATATGACATGTCTGTCATAATATAATAAAACGACCAGTATTTTGGCATTTACATTACACATTATATCACAAATTATAGTGCAACATAGTCATGTTGAAACAAAATTATTTCAGACTTCTTAAAATAAAATGTTTTAGTTTTTCAAAAACAAAGTTTCAGAATTTTGATTTTTCATTGCAATTTGGAACTTTTAAAGCAAAGTGGTGGATGCCTCATTGATAACCCAGAACTAACCAGTTGATGGTTTCTTTCAGCATTGAACTACAAGGATCAGATTGAATAGATTCACTCCCCGCCCCCAAGTAAAAAAAAAGAAAGAAAGAAAGAAAGAAAAAAACACACCAATCACCTCATTCTCCTCTTACACCAATTTTACTCAAAAGACTTACTCAGCATTTAGTGAGAAACAGACCCATTGTCTTTGTCTCCCCCCACCCCCAGAATGATGTTGTCCTTCTTTGATTGTGAAACCATCTAATTAGTCTGCATTTACCTTTGAAATTAAAGGGGGAAGAATGATAGATCTGGAAAAATTTCATTTTTCATTTAATTTGACTATTAACTATTTGACTGAAAAAGCATGTCTTGAAAATGTAATTGTGTCCCAGTACAACATTATATCAGTAACCTAATGCCATTTTATAAGCTGTGACCCAATATCCGTGACCTGACATACAAGCATGATTTATGACAATTGCTTGCCATCTGTCTCTTATAAATCATTTCACTCACTGTGCAAACTCAGAATGGAAGTGACATTGCTGCAAGCTACACTTACTCAGCATAACATTTACAGGAGGAACTTAGTAGATTTCCTGTTCTATCATGCAGCAGACCTTGTTTGAGATTAGGCCTTGCTTTTGAAAGAGAACCATGGCAAGCAAGCAGTCCTTCAGACAGGTATTCTGCTGCAGTTCTTGCTCAAGGCAGAGTAAAGAGATTATGTTACCTCTATATTTGGCACTGGTATGCCCACTGGTGGAATACTGTGTCTAGTTCTGGTGCCCACAATTCAAGAAGGATGTTGATACATTGAAGAGGGTTCAGAGAAGAGCCACCAGATATTAAGGGATTAGAAAACAAGCTATATAGCAGTGGTTCTCAAACTGTGGGTTGGAACCCCAAAGCTGGTTGCAACCCTGTTTTAATGGGGTCGCCAGGGCTGGTGTTAGACATGCTGGGGCCAAAGCTGAAGGTTGAGCCCTACACCCTGCAGCTGAAGCCAAAGCCCAAGCCCCACCACCCGGGCCAAAGCCCAAGGGCTTCAGGCTGAGGTGGCGGGCTCGGGCTTTGGCATAGCCCCCGTCCCCCTAGGGCAGTGGGGCTCAGGCTTTGGCGTAGGCCTCCCCCTGCATAGGGCAGAGGGGCTCGGACAGGCTTGGGCTTCAGTACCCCCTCCTGGGGTCGTATAGTAATTTTTGTTGCCAGAAGGGGGACATGGTGCAATGAAATTTGAGAACTGCTGCCTAATAGCGATAGGCTCAAAAAGCTCAGTCTATTTAGCTTAACAAGAGAAGGTTAAGGGGTGACTTGATCACATCTATTCATGGGGAACACATTTAACAAACAGGCTTTTCAATCTAGCAGATCAAGCTATAACATAAGCCAATGGCTAGAAGATGAAGCTAGACAAATTCAGATTGTAAATAAGGCATAAGTTTAGTAGTGAGAGTAATTAGCCATTGGGACAATTTACCAAGGGTTCTAGAGGATTCTCCATCACTGACCATTTTTACATCAAGTTTGGATCTTTTCCTAAAGCTATGCTCTAGGAACTACTTTGGGGGAGTTCTATGGCCTGTGTTATACAGTTGATCAGACTAGATGATCACAGTGGTTCCTTCTGGCCTTGGAACCTAGTGCAGAGAGGTTTTGTCTGAGTCTGTACAAAGTCACTTATTACAATAAATGTATACACAGATATATACAGTTAAACATCAAATATACAGATGTGTGCACTAAACTAGAGAGTGACAGTAATCTACACACAAGGAAATAGTGAATTGGTGGTGTTCTTGTGATTACAGCTGGTCTCACAGTATTTGAGGGTTTTCTTAAAGCACCAGCTGCTGGAAAGAAGAGATTGTCTGAGAATCACAGTTTTACTCATTTTAAATTAAAAAAAGTCTCTAGGCCTCATGGTTGGAGGGTGGAAGCTTGAGAACGCAAAGAGAGCGTACCCTAAAGGCTCAGAAACCAGAAGACAAATAAGAACCATGATTTTAAAACAATGATTTTTAAGTAAGGTCTTATGCTGTTTTAGGGTCTGATCATGATTTTTGAACACTTGAGATTGACAATATTGAGTCCAGAGCACTCCACTCTCTTTTGCCCCATAACTCCCTTGCAACACTGGGCCCCAATATGGAAATGAATGCAACTTCATGCAGAAATAAGGGTTTGCCGTTGTGGATTCCTTCACAGCACTGGGGCCTTGGCTTGTACTTGTCTAAATAGTGAATCCTAAAATATATTCACGTTTGGGGTGGATGCTTTATCCAGATTTGTTTTGCCTACAGCGTCTTCATATTTGACTCACAATTTTTGGTTTCAACTGGGCCAGCATCAGAACCCTCTCAAAAATTTGATACAGTGCTGGTTTGTCATTTCCTCAGATGCACCAATGGACATCCATAGTGGCAGACCTGTGATAAAGGCTCCCTGGCTAGTCTTGGAATGAGACAGGGGAGTTCAGTATGTCCCAAGGTCTGTTTCAAAGACCCTCACATCTACTCAGAAAGCGAGGTCAGACAACCCCATCTGTCTAGTACACATTCTATTTATGAATGTTGTTTATCCAAGGCCCCTAGAAGAGTTCAGTGACAAAGGGAGTTACTGCCCCTCCGATTATTTCCAGTGAGCATCATCCTGTCATCCAACATGGTATCCGAGTCAAATAGGCGATCTGTAATATTACCTGAAACCAGATACACTATGTAATAAATATTATTCTGAGATTAAACATATAGGGGAAGATTTGCAAGTATTACTAGATTTCAGAGTGGCAGCCATGTTAGTCTGTATCAGCAAAAACACCGAGGAGTCCATGTGGCACCTTAGAGACTTGATTGAATTGGCCTCGTTAGCACTGCCACCACCCCCCCTCACATGGTAAGGCAACTCCCATCTTTTCATGTGCTGTAATATATATACACTGCCTACTGTTTTTTTCACTCCATACATCTCATGAAGTGGGGTCTAGCCCATGAAAGCTTATGCCCAAATAAATTTGTTAGTCTCTAAGGTGCCACAAGGTCTCCTCTTAAAAAGAAAGAAAGTGTGACTAGTAACTTTGGGAACTCTAGTTTTACGTGCCTAACTTGAGAGTCCTAATTTTTCAGTGGGAGAGAGCTCAGCATTTTTCGAAAATCTGGCCACGTTAAAGATGGTTCAAGCTATACACCCAAAAATCACTAATCACTGTGATAATATTGGCCTTACAATGTACCCCAAAATATACATATTGAATATTGTTTAAAAAGGCAGAAGAGAAAGCCAAGGCATTTTGATTGCATATCTATATAATGTGACTGGATTGCAGGACTATATGGGTTTGATATCAACTATTAACAGATGTGAATGGTTTTTAAATGACCTTTGATTACAGATGCATAATCATTTCAAATAAAACGTGAGAGGTTGGATGAAGCAAGATTCAAAGAAAGCCCTTGTATTTTATCAGCTTTTTTCTGTGACAGTTGAAGTCATTGATAGAGCAGCAAGCAGTCTCTCACTCTTCCATTTTTTGCACAATAGCTAGCATGTGGACAACATTTTTGACATCTGGAAACAAGTTTTCAAAAAGGCTGGTGACACTGGGCCATTCTGAGTTGTAAACATAAGTTTAATGATCCTTTCAAGATTGCTGCCATAATAGGCAGAGAGAGTTTTCACTCTGTAAAAGCAGCATTGGAGAATCTAGCAAAAAACAAAACACAATTAGATGCGTCATTCCTAAGATTTTCCTATGAACTCTTATTTTTCAGCAAAACAAATATTGTACAATGTTATCTAGAACAATTCTACACTAAATTCCAATGGGCCACTAGAGAAATAAATACGGAGCATGAGACGAGATGCCACAAAAACATGGAAATTGTCAGTTTAAAAAAAAAAAAAAAAAAAGCTCTGTGAATGAAACTGAACATTTTGGAGTTTTAGAAGAGGATAGCAACATTAATGACTTCGTGAAAAATGTACAGCCATTCAATGAATGCAAGTGTTCATTTGTGTAATATAAAGAGTAAGACTTACCAATGCTGGGCTTTCCCTGCCCACTTCTATCTGGCCCGTACCCATGGTGTGGATCTATACATCAGCTCTGGGGATAGAACACAAGTTGCATAAATCCGGCCATGAATGACATTTGTTAGGTTTCAGAACTAGGGCCCGGTTCTGAAAGCACTTAGGTACACAAGTATTTTTACTTACAAGAACAGTCTGATTCCAGGAAGGTGAAGGCAGTGGGGTTACTCCTCTGCACATGAGTAGCTTTACTCCTTAAGAATTTCACAGGAAAGGCTTTACATGATGACTCTCTCACACTCCACCCCAAGCTGGACCCACTGTGGATTTCTGCACTGGACCACACAGGACACCCCCGCTGCCCCTACTGTGGCAACTCCATCAACATATCCCCAGCAGAGCCCCTATATAGTGTTTAAGTGATGTGAAGGTCTTTGTGCTGGTCCTCCGCTCCACGGGCAAGTCTCACCCTACGTGAATGTGAATTAGTTATACGACACAGAAACTTTGTGTCTGCATAATTTAGACTCTTGGTCAAGTCCAAGTCTATTAATCATGTTCTATATAGGAAGTTATTGGGATAAATTAAATGTCTTCTGTGCCATGAAAATGATCCCTCTCTTCCTGAGCAACCTCATTCAAGGTAACAAGGATACCCCAGTGGCATTCCAGCTCTCAGTGGCTACTGAAGACATACGCATTTGCAATACAAACAGAGGGCCAGATTCTCCAATCTGTTCCCTCTACTTTGCGCCACTCAGTGATTCTGGCCATAGCTGGTGTACAACTGTTGGAGCCTACTGTGTCAACCCCTTCACTATCCTTCTCCCCCACCGCCTCATCAGGCATGGGTGGGGGTGGGGGGTGTGCTGAGAGGCAAAGGGGATAGAAGAGACTTCTCCTCTGCTTATCCTTCACCAAGGTAACTTAGAACAGGGCCCCATCTGCTTTGCCATCTGCCAAGGCCGGCCAGCCAGCAGGATCAGAGGATCACAGCCAATTGCCTGTGCCCCATTCCCTGCCTGTGTTCAGGCTTAACAGGGATATGAGCCTCAAAGCTGTTAGAAGTCGCTTACAGATAGAGTCCTATGCACAGCTGTCATGACAATATAAGGATTCAAAACTAATTCAGGTCCTAGAGACTGTAGTAGACGGACACCATGACTTTCTAATAGTCAGGAGAGGGCCTACTCCCTGTCACTGTTCCAGCACTGCAAGGGGCCACAGTGCTGATTTAAACTACCGGAGGAAATCTGCCCAGTTTTAGGGAACCTTTGGGCGGCACAAGCTCTAACTTCACCCCACCTTGCAGCCTCTAGCATAGCAAAATGTGGCAGGCACAGGGCCAAGGAAGGGGACCAAAGAAGGCCTCAAGACGCGTGGAGTGAAAAGATTGCTGCTCCCCGATGCCTATCACATCTTAGAGAAACTGAAGGATAGGGGCATCGTGTCCAGCTGTGATGTGATACTATTAATGGGTACACTGCATTTCTGGGAAGTAAGAAGCCATTATATTTATAGTAAGTTAAGTAAGCCTGTGATCCCAGAAGAGCGGATTTCAGAGAAGAGCCATTTTAAAACAAAAGTATTGGGAATTCATGGGTTTTTTCCAGTCCTGGACAGCCCAGAACAAGGCTGACAACTTGATTCTGTCTCTTACAAAGAAGTTTGCTGTCAGCTTAGAGTAAGAGGTTGCAACATCTTTCTGAAGGCATACAAAGGCGTTTTACATATAGTTTATTCACCCTATTACCAATCTCCCCACGCACACACACACACTTTTCCATGTTTGATCTCTTATCAGCCCTTCTAGGTTCTTAACTCAAACCTAGTGATTTCCTTTAAGCTTTTTTTCCTTAAAGGACCTTTACAAGAACTGCCCTATACAAAGCAATATAGCATGCTTACTAACAGAATGATGTCAAATTTAAGAGAAAATATGTTTCCACATCTGCTAAAATGTCTTTGGGTGGCATCTGAATCAATAATCCATTTGACTTTAAAAGCTACATGTTTTTCCAATGGCCCTTCAAAAGTGCTCTTGCTACTTACCGTGCTCCTGCCATATATATATTTTTGTCTTTTTAACAGAACTTCTAAGTTACTTGATGGGCACACATCGGGATTAAACAACCCAAATAAATCTCATCACATATCCAATAACTTCTGCCACAACATTCTAAAATTTGTTTGGCCATTTCCAAATTAAAGCAAAAGTAACTATTTCAGCTGAGGAACAGATATGTAGATGGAGTTCTTTCTCCAGTCAGAAATGGACAAATTTTAAAAATAAATATACTTTATGGGCAACTGTTAAACCTGCACAGACCCCAGTATATCACATCACCCTAAGAAGCCCACTGTAGTCAATAGAGTCTTTCCACAGATTTCAATAGGCTCTAGATCTGGCCCTTAAATCAGTGTAAAGAATTTTGCCTGTTTCTTTGTAGAGGCTCTCAGCGTAAAAATTAATGAAGCGGGATGGGGGGAGGCATTTTTTTGTTTTGTTAGTTAAGGCTGTGATTTTCAGTCAATGGGGGATAGGCTCCTATTTAGTCCATAAAATATATATAATTGCATCACAATATTTAACTGTTATAATGATCTTGTGTGAGAGAGACTTTACTTTTTAAAAAGGATTTTCATTTATGTACCTGACTGAAAAGTTTACCACCACCACTATCCATGCCCCGGATCGCCCCTTTGTGTCTGTAATTACAGCGATCTCAGCTAGGTTTTTGTTTGTTTTTGTTTTTTTAAAGGCTCGAGCTGTTTATCATACGACAGACCAACAACAGTTTCCAAACAGTTGTAACAATATTTTTTTAAACAGCTGGATCAGGGTACAGCAACTAGAGCTGGGGACCGCCCAGTTTGGCTTTTGCTAAATTTTATAGAATGGTTGCTTTATGGCTGTGCATTAGAATTTCTTTAGCTTCATGTCCCAAAGTTCAGATGTGTTCATTATTTTTGCACTTAGAGGTCCAGTGGAGCTCAGGGTCCAATTATGCTAGTGCCTGTAAAAATCCACAAAGGTACTTAGGTGCTTAGCACCTAATTTCAGTGGGGATTGGGTGCCTAAATACTTTTGCGGATTTGGCCAAAGTGACTTACCAAGGTCATGCAGCAGGAAGCCTAGGTTCTCTTCCTCATTCTGACCCCAGTGTGGTGCCTTATCCACCCATAGAACCATTTATCAGAGAGGACCAATACTCTAGTTTTAATTCATCTCCAACAAAATAAGCAAGGTATTATAATGTATGCCAATCCAGAAGAATGAGTAGATCATAAAAATAAACTGAAGAGATCAGAGGTTCCAGGTGTCAAAACAAAAGTGGGACATACTATTCAGTAATTCATTTTTGAAGATAAGCTAGGTATAACAAAACACACACAAAAAAGGTAATATTAATGTTAACAGTAACTTCCATCTACTGTGTAACAAAGGATTCCCGCCTTATGTAAATCCTATTTAGGGTGGGGAGGAAGGCAAACGGGACTCCTCCTCTCCATGGCCTGTCTGCCCAAGAAGAAAGACTGCTAAAGCCACCTGAAGTTAAGGCAGGGGGGCAGTTCAGACTGAGACAGGGGTCCAGTCTGAAAAGAAATATAACTGGAACTCTGAACCACAGAAACTTTGCAACCTGCCTAAAATAATATTTAGGGTAAGAAATTACATTTTTCTCAATTACATGTTTCTTAAGTATATTGAGCTTAGCTTGTGTATTTTGCTTTATTTGGTCAGTAATCTGCTTTGTTCTGTCTGTTATTTCTTATATTCACTTAAAATTCACCTTCTGTAGTTAATAAACTTATTTCTTATTTATAATACAACCCAGTTTATGTAATTTCTAACTGGGGAGGACAAGAAGTTGTGCGTATCTCCCTCCACATTGAGGGAAGGGGCAAATTTCATAAAACTTTTGGGTTTGTATCCCTTTAAGGGAGTGGGCACCAGAGTGTTGGGGCAAGCCCCTAAGTCTGAATCTTTCCAGAGCGGATCTCTGTCTCTCTGTGCAGCTGGGTGTGGCCCTGCCTGTGTTCTTGGCTGGAAGAGGCTTGTGAGCCTAACCCAGCAAGGCCAGCTAAAGGGGACAGAGGCTGGCAGAATAGGCTGACTCAGTGGCATCCCAGCACATCAGATGACACCCCAAAGGGCCCAAACCCATCACAACCATAATCACACTTCAGATGTCTTACAATTATTCCACCATTCATCAGTGTCAAATACTGAGGCCTGTTAAATCCAGGGCTTTGGAGCTATGCTCCGGCTCTGGTCCAGCTCCAGGCAAAAACCTGCAGCTCCACTGCCCCGGAGCTGCTCCGCGCTCCAGCTCCAGGCTCCGCTCCAAAGCCCTGGTTAAATCAATACTTGAGCAAAAGTTTCTCCATAATTGCCATGCACTAAACAAGATTCAGATTTTGTACAGTCTGGCAGTCTAATGGTGCCACAGCAAGCTGTGATACAAAGCATGTGGGAAGTAAGACAGGCTCACTTCCATTATCTACTTGCCTTTTCACCCCATTTATTTCTAGATCTATTCTTTCTCAATAGAGACAGATTATAAAGTAGCTAACCTAGCTTTATATCACAAGGCTAGCTTTGAACTAGGGAGCGCTCTGTTCTACAGATTAACTTGCCCCCCCTCCCAGTTAGAAATTACATAAACTGGGTTATATTATAAACAAGAAATAGGTTTACTAACTACAAAAGGTGAATTTGAATCTGCTTTCTACTTCAGCCAGTTGTTGACAATAAATAGCTCTAAACATGCTATATAAAGTACCTGGGAACCAGAGAGAGCTGGGAAATTCTGAGGAAAGGTGAAGTTCCATAACTTAAGTGTGGTCAAGCATACCTTCATACACAAAAATATAAGGACAGGGAGGCCTCTGGGAAACCACAGAGATTAAACAGATGCGTCTTTAGTGGCTATATATATATATATATATATATATATATATATATATATATACATACACGCTAGTTATTGAGCTAACAGAAGTTCCGATAGTGATCTATTGGTTTAATTGAATTCTGAAAACTTGTCAGTGAATGTCTAAAGCAAAGGATAG